TAGTGGAGCACGGGCTTCAGTTCATGCCTGCAGCTAAGCTGCATGTTTTACACAGCCTGGCAATTATGTTCGGCTCACGGGTTTGTACAGCTTGGTTTTCTATTGTGTCCTCCTTGGGAGTTGGGACAACATTGCTTTCGATCAGTTTTGATCAGCCCGACTTGAAATCTTCAATTTTGGAGAATATTTCTTGGTATTGGTTTGCTGGACATGGATATGGTGCATGTCGGATATCCTTGTTGTAGGATAATTGAGCTTTCCATCAGCATCGGGCGTTTCTCTCCCTGGCTCGTTACTATGGCAGCAATTCATGTAGAGCCTGGGCATGCATTGGGTCAAGATATTGAGCATCCCTTCTTTTGTTTTTGGTGTCCAGGCAATCATGGAGTCGGGTCTGAGCCGACCCCAAGGGTCCCGGTTAGGGTCACACTTTCTTTTGTGTTTGATCAATGGCAATGTCTTCCTGCAGGGGAGGTAGCAATGAAAGCTGTTTTTTCTTTTCTTTAGGCTTTATGTATTTCATACCAGCAGGAGCTCATAAGTGTATAGCTCACAGCCTCACATGGTTTCCTTTTGTATTTACTCATATATGTCTGGTGTAATTTTTGTAAAAGTGAGGGATGTCTCACTTCTAAAACTGCTCGCTCTCACAATGAGAGGCGAACATGTAATCTTTTTTCAGTTAATGATATCTATTTTGTAGGTTAAAAAAATCTTTTAAAAAATCACGGGTTAGCTTCTTTAATAGGTTAGGGGATTACAGAGGTTGTTGTGTACTTGTATGAGCTTATACCACACTACCAAGTAATGTAGATTGACCTACCTGCCAACTTGCTGTAGTTTCAAGAATAGCACTATGTTCATGTGTATTACACTAGCTGAAAATTTAGGCACCATCTTATAAATGGTTGGTTCTGTTATTCAAATAATAAATAGATAAATAATGGTTGATACAAGGTCACAGACAACCAAAAGAGCCGCTCAATTCTTCTACTCATCAAAAGAAATTAGGGATTTTTGTCAACGTTTAGACTTTTCACCAGGCACCAACCCATATTAAAAGGCTACAAATTTTTGCAAGTTGATAATCCAACTAGCAATGCTAGAATCATTGTATAATATGATCGCCTGTTTTATGGAGTGGAGTAAAAGAGCGTTCCTCTTCTTCTTCAATATATTAAGGTGGTCTTTTAGCTAGGACATATCAGATTTTTTGCATAAAAGTTTTAATTTTTTTTTTTAACTTGAAAGTGTTTAATCTCATCCAATCGATAACAAATCAGCGCTTATAATTGAATTAATAACCCGTTCACAGTGCTCACAGTGGAAGAATAGAAAATAATAACTTTCACTGCATCGTGAATGTGGATTCTTCTAAAATCAGGAAAGCAAAAAAGAATCAATTTTTACCTGCTTGTGGATCAGATCACCTTCCACAGAGAAAACCAGCAGAAACCCTTCGGAAGTCCCAACGGCGAGAGCAAGGAGATCGCCGCAGGAGATCCACTCGAGGGCGCTGATCTTACCGCCGGAGGAAGAGAGAGAGGGTCGGATCTTGATGGGGCCGGCCAGAGGAGAGGAGGAATCCCAGCCGAGGACGAGGATGAGGGATCGAGCGAAGTTGGCGATGGCGAGAGATTGGGAGTGCAGGGCGGTGATGAGAGAGGGATCGGAGAGCCATCCTTCTCTCTCTCCGGCGCCGACGTCGGCGAGATCGTCGCAGGCGATGGATCCGATCTCGGTGAGGTGCGTTCGCCTCGACATTTGTTGGGTTTGGGCTTTGAGGATTTGATTGATCCGAGGGACTAAAGTAGCAGTAGAACACGGCTTGGGCTCGTAGAATAACTGAGTGGGCTTTCGTAAAGGATTTAATATTAGTTCCTTAATAAGGGGATATTTTGTTGTATGTTTTTACCATGTAAAAAGATGGAAAGTGTAAAAAAGCGGGTCTCAACGTCAGCTTTCATCACTTTACATTGTTTGTTTAAATTTTCTTTTATATGAAAAACTTACACCTTTTGATGAGATGTCACCGAAAACAAAATCACCAAAATTAGGAGTGATTTTGTTGGAAAGCTGACATAATGTCATAAATGTGTCCAAAAAAATAATAAAAATGTCAAAACCTTGTAGAAAGTGGTGAGGTGGATAACCACTTTTTATTTTGTGTCATAAATACTCTAGTTTACATTATACTATCCAAATAATGTAATACAATTATTTTTGGATTCACAAATATTCCTAACCAAACAATGTAAACACTCGAACGAAAAGTGGTGAGGTGAATAACCATTTTTTATTTTGTGTCATAAATACTCTAGTTTCCTAAAGGCATCCAAACAGCCCCTAATTCTGTGAAAACGACGAAGGAATTGTAAAAAACGTGAAGAAAAACCCAAAACAGACTCCACCACACTCTGGTGTGGTGTCTACCATGGGTGTGGCAGAATCTGCCATGTCTGTCATGGGTGTGGTGTCTGCCACACCCTGGTGTGACAGAATCTGTCCTGTCTGCCATGTGTGTGGTGTCTGCCACACCCTCGTGTGGCAGAATCTGTCATGTTTGCCATGGGTGTGGTGTGTGTCACACTAGGGTGTGGCAGACTCGATTTTAGAATCCTAATATATTTGGGATTGTGTTTTGTTATAAATAGAACCATGTTTTTTAGGGTTTCTTAAGGAGAGAAAAGGAGAGAATTAGCATTGTTTTGAGCACTTTGAGAGGGAGATATTGTGAGGGAGTTGAGAGCTTTGGTTAGGGTTATATTTGAGTGATTTTGTGAGTTGTAACACGTTGTATTTCTCCTCCATATAGTGAAATCTCCTCATACTCTCCCCGTGGACGTAGGCAATTTCCGAACCACGTAAATTCCTGTGTTTGTGTGTGATTTTGGTCGTTGTTTTGTGAATTGCACTCGTGTTTGGTTTTGGTTTTCTTCTCTCATCGCTCACCGACTCGTTTGGTTGTCGAGCACGCTTCCGCATGGCGCGCAACAAGTGGTATCAGAGCTCAGATTTCAGATCTAGAGTTTTGGATTAGGTGGAGGAAGATTCAGTTGGAAGCTTGGTTCTTGGAGTTCTAGGCTTTGGTGGAGTTAGGGTTTGAAGTTGCCGTTGAAGATCTCACTTTCCTTGTGTGGTTAGGAGTTCTATTTGGAATCTAATCTAGGGTTCAGTTGAGTAACTTCTAAATTCTATAAAGTTTGAATCTTTTTTTTTTTGCAATTTAGAGTTTATGATTATGGGTGAAGAAGTTGGTGAAAGCAGCAAGATGACGGGTACAGTTCAAGTGGGTTTTCAGAACACTAAGATTAGTGTAGTAAAATATTACGGCAAAATTAATTTTGGTTTGTGGATGAGCGACGTACAGGATACGCTCAATGCTCAAAATTTGGAGGACATCATCATGGTCGATGTGAGGCCACCTAAATATGAAGAGGCGGTATGGAAAAAGATGAATAGGAACGCTTGTGGGGTGATCAGGTCCTGTTTGGAACAGGAGCTGAAATATGATGTGATTGGGGTAACGTTTGCGATGAAGATGTGAGAAATTCTCAACAATAAGTATCTTACGAAGAGTAATGAGAACAGGTTGCATTTGCTGCGTAGGTTATTCAGATTCTAGATGTCCCGAGGCACCTCGCTTGCGGCTCATGTGAACAACTACACTAAGTTGTTGTCGGACTTGGCGAATGTGGATGAGAAGATCACGGATGAGTACAAGGCTATTATTCTTTTAGGCTCCTTACCGGATGAGGAGTATGATACATTCGTGCTTACTTTGCTGAACGGGAGATCTTCTATCACTTATAGTGAAGTGACTAACGTATTAACGAACTACGATTTGAGGAGGAAGGATAAGAAGACTTCATGTGCTAGTACTTTAGGAGAGGCCTTGTCGACGAGAGGTAGAAGCCCATATTTGAAAGGTGGTAATCGAGGAAGGTCAAAGTTAAGAGGTCGTTACCAGCTAGCTAAGAACCAGTGTACGTTCTGCAAGAAACTAGGACATTGGAAGAGAGACTGCCCAAAGGTCAACGAAAAGGAGAATAGCAAGAAAAAGGGCCCGAATGCCAATAATGTGAATGTTACGAAAGGCGATGATTCTGATGATTCGAGCTTTTCTCTTTTGATTACTCCGGAGGTGAACCATTTGGATGCATCGGATTGGATGCTTGATTCTGGCTCTACTTATCATGTGACTACTAGGCGAGATTAGTTTTCATCATTTGAGAGACTCGACGGGGGTGTTGTTATCATGGAAAATGATTAATCCTGTAGCATTTGTGGGATAGGTACTGTGAGGATTCGGATGCACGATGGAGTAGTCTGTGAGTTGAAGGAGGTGAGATTCGTTCCTCAACTAAAGAAGAATCTCATCTCAATTGGATATTTGGAGGCTAAGGGATTCAGGGTAACCTTTGAGAACGCTGTAGCGAAGGTTACTAAGGGATCTTTAGTGGTGATGAAGGGAGTCCGCAGTTAAAATTTATACTATCTGAAGGGGAGCACCGAGATTGGTCAGGTTTTTTCGGCTACTTCAGAAGCAGACATGAGTAGGCTTTGGCATTACAGGTTAGGGCACACAGGAGAGAAGTCACTGCAGGCTTTGTGCAAGCAGGGGCTATTGAAGGGAGCCAAGAGTGGTAAAGTGGAAATCTGTGAGCACTGTGTTCTTGGCAAGAAGACGAATGTGAAGTTCGGGATGGCCATTCATAGGACGAGGGGCATCTTGGACTACGTGCACACAGATGTTTGGGGTCCCACCAAGACTACATCACTTGGTGGTCGATATTGGTTCGTCACGTTTGTTAATGACTATTCTAGGCATTGTTGGGTGTACACCATGACAAAAAAGAGTGAAGTCCTAGATATATTTGTGGAGTGGAAGAAGAGATTGAAACTGCAGACAGGAAGAAAGATCAAGACGTTACGATCCGACAACGATGGCGAGTATATTTCAGACCCCTTTCAGCAGCTATGTCGAGACGAGGGCATAGAGAGGCACTTCACAGTTAGTCATACGCCGCAGCAGAATAGGGTGGCGAAGAGGTTAAATCAGTCTTTGCTAGAGAAGATTTGATGTTTATTAGCGCATAATGGTTTGGAGAAGATCTTTTGGGCTAAGACACTTTCATATGCGAGCCATCTCATTAATAGGCTATCTTCATCTGCGATTAATTGAGGGAAAGACCCCTATGGAGATGTGGTCGGGAGAGACAGTACATGACTATGACCAGCTTAAGATATTTGGTTGCCCTGCATATTATCATGTTAGAACTGATAAGTTAGAAACTCGAGCTAGGAAGGCCATATTTGTAGGATTCAAGCGTGGTGTCAAGGGATACAAGCTTTGGGATCCAGTTGATAAGAAGATTGTGCTAAGTAGGAACGTCACATTTGATGAGGCTTCTATCTTGAAGCTTCCTAGATCTCATCAGGTGGAGAGCGACCCGACAAAGGAGATATCGCAGGTGGTGGAGATTGATGCAGCTCCACAGTATCCAGATGGTATAGTATCCATTAAAGTACTGACTGAGGTGACGCCAGGTGAGCACGCGGTGATGCGGAGGATACGGGTACTCATGTGCAGGATCAGGGACTAACGGCTCAGGTTTAGTATTCTATTGCGGTTCGGAGACATAGGAGAGACATACGGGTGCCAGCACGGTATGCCGACACAGTTGCATATGCATTTCCGGTGGAGAGTATCGATGAGATAATACCTACTACTTTCAGAGAGGCCGAGCAAAGTTCGGAGGCTGATTCGTGACAGGTAGCTATGCAGGAGGAGATGGAGTCTCTTCATAAGAACGATACATTAGAGCTTGTTGAGCTTCCAAAGGGGCGGAAGGCGATTGGGTGCAAGTGAGTGTACACGAAGAAGGAGGGCATTGAGGATACTCTGTTAGCCCTTTATGTTTTGATGATGTTTTACAACCACCATTATCGGTACTAATGGCTTATTAAGTACAAATGTAGTGAATTCATATATCAAGCTTATTAGTGACACAAATGGAGGATTGGATGGAATATGTGCTACAACGATGATATCCAAAGGAGGAGGAGGCATAGTGATGAAGCAACGTTATTTCAAGAACAACAAATTCAAATAGAAGCTTCATCAAATTCAAGCTATATCAAGACTCAAGCATTGCTTTCTATATAAGAATATTAGCCATCTTTTATTTTTTTTCTCTAGTGATAGAATGTAGGAAAAGAGTTATTGACTTCACTTGAAGCTATTGGGATATCACACACACGTTTTCATACTTATGTTTTTAAGCGTTTTTCACAAAATACTATTTTCCAAAAGTATGAGGACCTATCTGCAAAATTCCTTTTTCCAAACAGTTTGTTTTTAGCATTAAAAACATTTTACAAAGTTTCATAATTTTCAGAGGTCAAATAAATATTTTCCAAATATTAGTTGAGTCAAAAACAGTGTATTGGGATGTATCAGAATGCGGTCGACCGCATCGGTCGACCGCACCTATGTTCATTCCTCACTGGGCAGCAGAGAGTTCGTCGGTCGACCGTCGCGGTCGACCGAGAGCTTCCTTCAGTCGACCGCACCGGTCGACCGGATAAGTCTCTGCTTGTTTTTCTCGTTTTTGATCTGGATAGCGGCCGGCCGAAATTTCCGTCAGTCGACCGAACTTTTCCGTCGATCGACCGAAATTTCCGCCGGTCGATGTAGGGTGAAAATTTGATTCTTCCGAAGGAAGGAGTTTCGTTTGTATTTATAAGAAAGCTTATTACAAACTAATGAATCAAATGTTTACAACAGAAGCG